ACACCAGAAGGCATACTGTGGGCTGGGCCTAGCTTAGAGCTACATTTTTGTTAATTAGGCAGCTTGTATGTAGAAAGAAAATATTTATAGAAGTTATAACCCAATGCAGTGGAGGCATGTGAAAACTAGATATGTTCAGCCTAGATGTCTAAAAGATTTTTTGCAATATGGGTAACCAACCATTGAGAAAATATACTTAGCATTGATTTGGGATACTTTTGTACTCTACAGCTTTAATTCAAGGTTGGAAGGCTTTCTTAATACAAAGCTGACACAGTAATAATTGTCTGGAGACAGATTTGTGGGGATGAGATTCTAGATTCAGTATTATCCCAAAAATCAGATTAGAAAAGCATAGTTTTCTTTCCCTTTTTTTCCCTCATGACCTTTAGGTGTATGGCTTTACATATTACTATTTAACTAGATATTGAATAAGCACAGTAATAGTTTTGCCTTTTAAGTATGCTTGTGAAGTACTTTAAAATCATTAGCAGTAGGAACATCAAATTGATATTAAGGATTGGTACAACCACTGCAAATTACTGAGTTACACAAAATTTGGCATAAGGAAGGAAGAGGTACAAGAGAATTTTGAAATAGAGTGACACTTTACTTTTGTATCTTTGTAAATGGTATTCTCTTAAATGGATAATCAGTGTTACAGGATGCAGTTTGCTATTTAAAATTGAACCTGCAGTGTGTACTTACTACATTTCTATCGGTAATTGGTAAATAGCTGTCATTTTTGTAGGATTTAACATCTGTTAAATGCTCAAACACATAAGATATTATTATTGGTATCTGGGTGAGGATACTGTTTCAGTTACTGAAACAAATACTTTTTTACTTTAACTGTATAGAGCATTTTTCACCAGAATAAATAAATAAATAAATAAAACTACTTCTGTCACATGAAACAATCACAAAATTTGAGTTAAATGAAAAGTCTGCAGTAGTTTGTCATGTTCTTGAGATAAATCTTTAATAATCACTTTTATTCTTTCTGTTTAAGCATGCGACCCAACATCTTCTTGGGGATTAGTGAAGGCTCTGCCCAATACAGAAAATGGTACTATGAACTTATGGTGGACCATCTAGAGCCCTTTGTGACTGCAGAATCAACTCATCTACGAGTGGGCTGGGCTTCAACAGAGGGCTACTCACCGTATCCAGGGGGAGGAGCAGAATGGGGAGGAAATGGTGTTGGTGATGACTTGTATTCCTATGGCTTCGATGGTCTGCATCTGTGGTCAGGTATTCTCTTTTTTTGTGTGTGTTTGGGGTTTTGGTGGTGGTGGTTGTTTTAAATACTAGAAAATTGTTGTTTGCAGTTCCAGTGGATTTGTTTTCAACAGCAGCAAAGTGAATCAGATGTTTCACTTGACACTAGGAATATATGGAAACAGTACCCTATATCAGAATATGTTTTAAGTTGATATTGTTAGGAGAATTTCAGAATTGGTTAGTTTTAGAAGTTTAGAAATACTTTAGAGGTGAAGAAGATTTTTAAGTATGCTTTTTGCCATACATTTTGAAATCAGGTATTTTTCTGTAGTGGTGTTTTATTTACATACATTGTGACTGACTGTTTATTGCAAGACTTGCAGAATCATATTCCTAGCTTGCATGTGGTGTGTTTAGTCAGCTATTCATCTTTAAAATATTATTGCCCCAGCTTGGATCTAGTCATTAATAGTAATTCCTGCATGCAAATTCTAACGTTAGAGGAAGCTGAACTGAGTATCTACAGTACTTGTATTTACTGTTGATTCTGCAAATATCTTATTCTCTGTTCAAACTGGGTTAGCTCAGCAAAATCAGAATTATAAGAAACCAAGCTTGTCCCCTTTTTCTTAATATTTTTTCACATAATTTAACTTTTGTGAAAAGATTCCCAGATATCATTTGTAATGGGTAGTCCTATACATGGACAGTCCTAAACTTCTTGAAAAAAGTTTCTTCTGTGGTTTCATCTTGTTGAGGAAAATTTTTTTCCTTTGATTTTTGGGAGATTATTGGCAGTGATGAAATGTAGAAGTGACTGGAAACTGGGTTAGTCTCATGGGATTGGCAGTTCTCGCCACTATGAAGATACGAGCAAGTTTTCTAAAGCTCCTTAGCAGACAAGAGAGACATTTTAGTGAGTCAGCGGTATGTATCATTCAAGGTCTTTGAAGTTTTGAGGCATTGTAGCTTGGTACTTGGAAAAGAACACAGTTTTACATTTCAAAAGACTTTTCCAATCAAAATAGCAATGGATTGTATTATTAAGTAATAACATATTGACTGGAGTGGCATCTTAGGAAAGTAGCTGTCACTTTACCTCTCATGTATAGTGAGAATTACTTTGAACAATGATGCATAATTAATGGTGTCATTAAAGCTGTGTCATAACTGAGTTTGTCAGATAAAGTATTATTACAGAAGAATCAGAAAATAATGAGCCAACCAAAATAACTCTTGTAGTTAGGGTCTCTTTTAGGGAGGAAACAAAAGATTACTGAAAATCAAAATTATTTTTCTACCCACTGGAAACTTTTTAATCAGAAACATCACAAAAGAATAAATGAACAATTGTTTGTGGTTCTCAAGTCAATAATCCAGCCCAGTTAAAAAAGTCAGACCACCTTTGTGTGGACAGTTTTTGTATATTAATCTCTGTTGTGGTTGTGGCTGGTAGATTTGAAAAGATTTCTGTATTCATTGACATTCGTACCTAACACATACCTCTGAAACCTGGAAGGATTTTAAGTAGTTGAATGTTGAAAATCACGGCCTTTCTTCTTCTTCCACAATCCCAGGCTGCATCTTGGTAAGTCTCTGCAATGACACTTTAAAAATAATCTTCTGAGCATGAAGCATTTACTGCATTAATGAATAGCAACAATAATTTCTGTCCCTGAGTGTCTGTTCTAGACCAAGCCTTTACCAGAATCTCATTTAATTTACATTTGTTTCTTCAGTCCTGCAATTAATTCTCTGATATGCAGGAGTGGAACTCATAGATTTTTAAAGCCTAAGGCCAGAAAAGGCACTTAGGTCATTTGGTCTGACTGCGTGTTCATCTGTCGTGGTTTGACCCCAGCCGGCAACTAAGCACCACACAACTGCTCGCTCACCCTCCCCCCTCGGTGGGATAGGAGAGAGAATTGGAAGGGTAGAAGTGAGGAAACTTGTGGGTTGAGATAAGAACAGTTTAATAATTGAAATAATAATATTAATAGTAGTAGTAATAAAAAAAATTATGAAAAGGAAAACAACAACAAGAGGAACAAACCCCAGGAAAAAACAGTGATGCAACCGCTCACTGCCCGCAGACTGATGCCCACCCAGTCCCTGGGCAGTGATCCCTACCCCCTGGCCACCTCCCTCCAGTTTATATACTGAGCATGATGTCACATGGTATGGAATAGCCCTTTGGCCAGTTTGGATCAACTGTCTTGGTTGTGCCCTCTCCCACTTTCTTGGGCACCTGACAGAATATGGGAAGCTGAAAAAGTCTTTGACTAGTGTCAGTACTACTTAGCAACAACTAAAACATCAGTGTGTTATCAATGTTATTCTCATACTAAATTCAAACCACAGCACTATGCCAGCTACTAGGAAGAAAATTACTTCTATCCCAGCTGAAACCAGGACATCATCAAAGACCAGTACATATTTCTGTTAACAGTCAGCCCTGCATTGATCCCAATAACCTATATTTGGCTAAATTTTAGCATCTAAAAAGGCATCTAGTCTCACGTAGTATGCCTTAAGGAGATGAAGTATCCACTCTTCATTAATAGCTCTTTTACAGTTTAGTTATCCCTGCCATTAAATAATTGTCCCTGTCTGTGATTTATTGGAAATTAACTCTTGGCTGTTGTGATGTTTTTCTCCGCTGTTCTCTACTGTGCTCTGTGAGTTTTGGGATGTAGAGCTGGTAGAAGGTAGTTTCCTTGCAGGCCATTCCTTACTCTGCGACTGCTACTCTGTTGCTCAGCAGTGTTTCCTATAGATTTCCTGATTTGTGAGGGGCCCTTAGGATTGCTTCATGTCATTCCCCTGTCTCTGCTCATGGAACTGACTATTCTTACAGCGACCGAGCTAAGGATATCCTGTCTTGAAAGGGTGTAGGGGAGCAGCAAAAGCATCTGAAAACTTCCCCCCCTCTCTGCTACTGCTGCCCTGTCAAGAAGGACAGATTGCACAAAAGCATCTGTCCTACAGTCCAGATTCTGTGGCAGTATCAGGAAGTCATTTTCCATACGTAGACTATTGGAAGTGTTATTTTCTACTTTTCCTTGGGGAGGTGGTGGTGGTGGTGCTGTGTGTATGAAAATTTATCTGCAGAAGAATTATTTTCGCTGCTGGTAAAAACATATGCCATCTTCATCTTCTTAGAAATACAGTGCTTTTACTTAAGTCCTTCATATTTAGAGAAGTTGGACAGCATAGTTAAAAAGTTACTGCTCTGTTCTTAATATTCATTATGGTTTATCTCTTGCAGACATTGCATGTGTAATTTTTGGAAAACACGTCTAGAGATATTTTCATAGAACTGTCATGCTTTTCCATTAATTTTCTGTTGTAGGTGGCAGTAAATTTCAGAAACAGTAATTTCCTGTTCTGTATTCTATAGGTTATTTCTCTTGGGAAGCAGGTGTGCTTGTGTAAATGTAATTTGGTGCAAGAAAGAATGATCCTTTAGAATTAATACAAAACTTATTAAAGAAAAATATATATAATACTGACTATATATGCCTCAGAATTGCTGCTGTCTTTGTATATGCCAGAAAAATGCTGGTTTGTGGTTTGATTATGAAACTGAGTAGTATCATCTTATACAACTTTGCAAGGGTACTGCGATGTGGCCCTTAATAACAGGAAGTACCTTACTTTTCCTAAATAATTTAAAGTACACTACTTGTCCTTATCTTGAGTAAGGAAATATTCGATAGTAAAGTATACTAAGTTTCATATTAGATACTAATGGTTGTTTTTCAATTTGCATTTCTACTACTGTGAGGAATAACATATAGTTTTCTTGTTTTTGACTGTTTATATGGGTATCAATAATTATTTTCACTTAACGTGAAATGTAACTTAATTGTATTATTTATGATTAAAATAGCTTTGTAGATAGGATTGTATGCTTCTATTCACTGTATTGCATGCTTAAAATCTTGGATGTAATAGGTTAGATATTTGTGTATTAATGTGTTTCTGTTCTATTGCTATGTTTTCTTTCTCTTTTTTTAGGCTGCTGTGAAAACCTGTATGATATTCAGAAGTTTTGCTAAATGTGTCTCCTTTACTTGCATAGGTTGTGTAGCACGAACAGTAAATTCTCCCAACCAACATCTATTAAGAACTGACGATGTTATTAGCTGCTGTTTGGACCTGAGTGCTCCCAGCATCTCTTTCCGGATAAACGGTCAGCCAGTTCAAGGAATGTTTGAGAATTTCAACATAGATGGCCTCTTCTTCCCAGTTGTCAGCTTCTCTGCAGGAATAAAGTTAGCATCCCATGTAGTTTCCCCCCACCTTGGTCTGTTGGGTTTTTTTTTAATGTATATGTGAATATTTCTCTGTCTTTGCTCTCATTTCCCTTTCTGCCATCTGCTTCTTTGGCACAGTTCCAGTTCTTGGATAGTGAGAGCTACAAAGGAGTCCTGAAGAGATGGTGCATCTGCTGTTTTTCAGCACACCCATGTATTCAGGTGGTTTGCAGATAGAACTTAGAAACAGCTTCTTTATCATTTTTTTTAGCTGACACATTGCTACACATTCACTCCAGGACAACATTTTACCTACATGGGAAGGAAAACATCTGTCTTTGATATTAAAAATATATTTGCCCTAGCTCACTTGTTATGAGGTAGTAGCTATTATTTGAAGATGCATTATCTACACTTACCTTAAGAAATGGTGGTGGTACACTTCCTTTTCAGCAGGATGAGTTAATTATGAGTTCAGTCAACCTGTGTTCTGGTTGCTGTACTGGTTTTCTATAAAATTTCAAGTCACACTTGAGGTGCCAGAATTCTGCTTCCATGTTTTGAATAGTTTGAGACTATAATATTAAAAAATATTGTGTGATATTCCAGTGGGGGGACCAACTTTAGCAGGACTGGCAAAGGTAAAGGCTGAAAGCCGGTTTCTGTTGGAGACAGAGCAATGCTCTGTGAGGGATCATTCAAAGACTGTGGTGAATACTACAGAAGCTAAGAGCTATCATACTGTGGGCATACCAGCCTCTCATTCCAGATGCAAAATGCACTTCGTTAGACTTTGCCTTGGATAATATGGGACATATAATACAGTAAAACTAGACATGGATGCCATGAAATGCAAAACTACAAACCTGCATGTTTCATCTCCGTCACAAGAGAAATATTTGACAGACAATATTTGCGTGCTGAGTGTGTTTTTGGAGAGCGTAGCATTTTGGAGTATAGCATTGACAGAAATCTTATAAGATACTCAGTAAACAGAAAAGAGACAGAATGATTCTGTTGTAAGGTTAGTTTTTTGGGTGTGTTTTGGTTCCTTCTGGATGGCAATGTTCTGGGAAAATTTTTCAGTATTATGTCATTGCTGCTTCATGATCACCTCATTTATTATATTTTTCAGTAGCAAAAACCAATGACAAATTCACCATTTTGTAATAAATCAAAGAATGCTTTCCCCTAGGTATGTTTTAGGGAAGAAAATATGGGAGTTTTTTGTATTTTGTCCTAAGGATTTAGTGTTCTGTGAGAGAAAAGAAAGAACTGTATTCCATGGAGTTTTCAGGCTCATTTCTCAAATGAGAGAGAATGGAGAACTCCTCAGTGGAGAGAGCTCAGAGGTGGTTGATTGATTACTCTAGATTGTAATCTCTGCCTTCCGGGACTCGAAAAGCTGCTGCTTACTTCGTAGGTGTGCTAAGTAAACTCAGTATTCTCTGTCTCTCTCTTCACCCCCCATCCCTCCTCCTCTCTTTTGGTCTCATGATTTTTAGGATACTTTTATGAAAGTGGAAATTAACTAAAAGAAAGAACTGTTTACTTTTCCCCATGTTTTTTGCACCTTCTACTTCATAAACTCCAGCACAAGTTAGAGAAAGTTGAACTGTAAATAACGCAAATAAGCTGCAACATCGATTTTTTTTTTTCCCCCCTTTTTCTAAAAAAATAGCATTCAATAGTTGTTAGGCTTGCAAATTGATTAGGTTTGACACCAGAGGTGTCTCAGTTATCTAAAGTAACTCTGATGCTTACAGGGTACGTTTCTTGCTTGGAGGTCGCCACGGAGAGTTCAAGTTCCTTCCTCCACCTGGATATGCCCCTTGCTTTGAAGCTGTCCTACCAAAAGAGAAGCTGAAAGTGGAGCATAGCCGAGAGTACAAGCAGGACCGTAGCTATACAAGAGACCTACTAGGTCCTACTATCTCTCTGTCACAAGCAGCTTTCACTCCAGTTCCTGTAGATACTAGCCAGGTAAGGAAACTGAAAGATTGCATTTTCATTTTTAAACACACATATTATAAGCCTATGTTGTTTCACATTTGATTGAATTTACAGCTTGTCTCAAACTTGTTTTTTCTTGGGATTTGGTTGGTACATTCCATTGCGAGAAGTTGAAAAATGGTGCGTAAATCCCTGATAGTGCTCACTAGAAATTTCATATATTTCAGTTCACAGACACTATAATAAAGAATGTTTTACCCTTAAGATTAGAGTAGGCAAAAAAGAATATTTGAACTTCTTGTTCTGTTACTAGGTGTTTTGATTACTGTTTAATTAAAATCACTGAATACTTTGCGTTATGATAAGACTTTTAGACCACCTTCAACCCTAATTCTTTACTGGACTTGCAGGTTAGTGAGAGTGGCATTTGACTCACTGTGGGCAGTAAATGGCAGGCACTGAAGTTATAGTGGGGGTTTTTTTGGGTTTGTTTTTTTTTTTTTTTTTAACATAGTTGCAAAGAGCAGTAATTCTTTAATACCAAAGAGCTCCATCTCTGATCACAGGTAGCAAGAGTTCATTTTACACTTGAGCAGAGTTTGAGGTGACACAAATTTTTGTACACTATGTGCTCAGATTTTACCATATTTAGGAACTCGTTCCTGAAAAAAACACATAAAAAAAGAACAAACCTGCTAGTTTGTTGCCATTATGCTCTAAATACAGCGTTCTACATGTGTTGTGTAATTATTGTTCTGTAACACCAACAATTGGGGTAACATTAGCATGATTCACAGTACTGTTGTTCTGGTTTTGGCTGGGATAGAGTTATTTCTTCATAGTAGCTAGTATGGTGTTATGGTTTGGATTTATGCTGGAAACAGTGTTGATAATACAAGGATGTTTTTGTTATTGCTGAGCAGTGCTTACACAGAGTCAAGGCCTTTTTTGTTTCTCACCCCACCCCACCAGTGAGTAGGCTGGGGGTGCACAAGAAGTTGGGAGTGGACACAGCTGGGACAGCTGACCCCAACTGACCAAAGCGATATTCCATACCATATGACATTGTGCTCAGCATATAAAACTGGGGGAAGAAGAAGGAAGTGGGGGACATTTGGAGTTACAGTGTTTGTCTTCCCAAGTAACGTTTAAGTGTGATGGAGCCCTGCTTTCCTGGAGACGGCTGAACACCTGCCTGCTGATGGAAAGTAGTGAATGAATTCCTTGTTTTGCTTTGCTTGCATGTGCAGCTTTTGCTTTACCTATTAAACTGTCTTTATCTCAACCCATGAGTTTTTTCACTTTTACTCTTCGGATTCTCTCCCCCATCCCACTGGAGGGGGAGTGAGCAAGTGGCTGTGTGGTGCTTAGTTGCCGGCTGGGGTTAAACCACGACAACTGTATATTTGAGCTCTCTGTTTTTTGAGGTAAAGCAGACTTGATTTCAAATTCTGGAGGTAGAGTGATGTGCTGTCCTGATTTCACTTGTCACCTGTCGTCATCATTGAAGTTTGGTTTTTGTTTTTTTTTTTTTCTTTTTTCCCAGTGGTCCATTCTCAAGTGTTTATATTTGCCTGAAGTGTTTTTCACAACATTACCTTGGTTGTTGAGATTTTTAGCATATGTTAAGCTGAGACATAGTATTGGTTTGAGTACTTTCTAGCCAGCTGACAGGAATGTATTCTATGCCATCTGGAGGTGTTGGATTTAAAACTGTTTTCGCTTGCTGGTCAAACTCTGGAATTTGTAATTGCATATGTTGAAATATTTAGTTGGTAAGAACTGAGTGATAATTTAGGTTTAGTTGAAAGATCTGGTCTGTACAAAGTTTGTCTGTTATGTTTGGGTGGCACTGTAAAGCAACTTATTTTTAACAGTCTCTTTCTTCTCTCTTTAGATTGTTTTGCCTCCCCACCTGGAAAGAATTAGAGAAAAATTAGCAGAGAATATCCATGAACTATGGGTTATGAACAAGATTGAACTTGGCTGGCAGTATGGACCAGTATGTACCTTCCAACTTAATTTTCTGTTATTATCTAGTATTCAGCACGTTGGTTTCAATGTGCTAATGGGACTGCATTTTTTTCCATCCTCCCAAAATTAGTAAGGTTTTAGACCCTTTCCACCAGAAGCAGGTGGAAATCAACAGTGCTTGTGTATTTCTGAACCAAAACTCTGGTATTAAAGCTGTTCGGTGCTGAAATTTTCAACCAGTCTAACTGCTAGCACAGAAAGCACATGGTGGTTTTTTCACTTTCTGTTTGTTCTTGGGGCAAGAAATTTAGTTGCCTGGTGGAGTAAGCCAATAAAAGAGGTTATTCGTGGTTCTCTTCACATGTACTGACTCTTTCAGAAGTCCCAAATTTATTTTTCTTGAAAAATAAGTATTGCTTATAGAAAATTCCATTAAATCTCCTTGCTCCTTCCTTCTCTCTACTTCTTCAGGCTCACGTCTGTATTAGGTGCTCCACACAGCTATTTTCTTACCTCTTTCCTACTTTTCCTGCAGTATGACAGCAAAAAAAATATGTGGCTTTGATACAAAATGCAGTCTATTTTGTTGATTAGATTTTTTTTTTTTTTTTTTTAAAATCAATCCTAAAAAATTGTACAAGCTAGTTATTCGGATCATAAGTGGTGGTGTTTATGAAGAACTATTGCTGTGCAGAGTATATAGAAACACAGGAGATACTAGATGTGAATGTAAAAAAAGGTATGCGCGTATAGAAAGATATATGTATTCTATTTTTGTTAATAAAAAAAATTTTGATCTTCTGAGGAGTTCAAATTACAGATTTGATGTAGCTGGGCAGAGGTATTATATTTGGTGTAGCATACAGCAGTACTTAAAGAGATTTGATTAACAGAGAAGACCTCTAGATTTTTTTCTTGTTGTTGCTGCTTTCCCCATGAAATCAAACACAAAACCCCAGTTAAATTAATGTCTCAAAACATTTTAATTGTGGTATAATCATACCAGCTGTGAAGCAATCTGCAGGAGCTTTTAGTGTACTGCTACTTACCATCGAGAATCTAATTGTACAGTTGAACACTATTTTAATTTAAACAATATATATTAAGTATCAAGTTAAGCAGCAATAAATGTTGTATTTATATTCAGAATGAAACCAGGTGCTAAATCTTTTAAGTTATTCAGCTTTCTCTCTCTCACTTTAGTGATCTATGGTTAGATGTGCTCACTTTGGGAATGTGGCAAAGTAAATACTGATCATCATCTGGAGATTGACTCCTTTATCATGTTGGTTTCTCACAGATTATTTAATCAGTTTAAGCCACTGTTACCAATTCTAGTTATCAAATTGATGCACTGAAGTTACTGAATACTGAGGGAAGGCATGAAACAGAAATTAGCTGGTTTAGATGTACACATATGAGTGCTCTAATCTTAGATTTGGTCTTTTTAATTCAGAGCAAGATGCGCATTATATATAGTAGCTAGCTTTTCTGAAAAAGTGTTTTTTCACTAAGTCAAAAAGTTTAAAGGCTAAAAGACAGAGAATTTGTAGATTTAAATGTCTCTCCAGATAATTCAAAAACTCTGCTATAAATTGCATCTTATATTCACTCCTACATACCTGTTTCATCAGATCTGTGTGTAGTATCACCAAAGTGATACCCAGTATTGCATGTGATACTACTACTGCATTTTATACAGGTAACAAAGTAAAATAACAAGCTAATGTGGCAAAATTAAGGACTTTAACTGGCTTTGTCATAAGTCTGAATATGAGCGGTATTTAAGTGTCCAACTTCAAATCATCGGATGCATCTGCATATCATTATTTCTATTAAACTTTGCTGTATATTTAAAACCAGCCACAAAAATTAAGAATTCATAGGTGTCATGAGTTCTGCCACTTATATAAGATATTTGCAAGGCTGTAGATTTTTATACTGTGCTCAGGGAAAAAAAAGGGGGGCAGGAAGGCAGCCTGCAAAATGTGTTGAATATATAGTATTGTAGCTGTAGAGTGAAAAGAGTGTCACTAGGGGGAATTCAATTAACGTTGGAATTCTGAGGAAAATGCCTGACGTCCAAGATTTAAATTTGCTGTACACAGATCTAAAGTAGTCCTTTTTATTGGAGACTATACTGAATCTTTATTAATGCAGACTACCACAGGTCTTCGAAAGAAATCTGCAAATAAACATTTTTCAGTGTCAGCTAAAAGGTGTTTCTTGGTTTAGCTGCTAATGATTTTGATCAAGTAGCTTGACAGTTGAATTACTTGTATTGCCTGTCCAATGAACATTAATCCCAGTAAATGAAGATAAATATCCCCTGCAGATTGTAAATATTTTTTGCTCCAAAACATAAACAAATGACTGCTGCTCAATTTGATAATTATGTACTTAGATCAAAATGCAAAAATATGTTACTCAGAAATGTTACCGAGAAAGGTGAGATTTTTTTTTTTTTAATGGGATTACACTACTACTCAGTCTAGTTTATTTACAGTTTAGTTATTGTTATAGAAAAACACAGAACTGGCAAAAATAGAAGATGATAAATAAAAAATAAATTTCAGCTAGCAGTGATCCATGTTCATATTCACTCTGTGGATACTCATGTATAATTAACACTCAGGACTTGAAATTACAGAAGCTTTATAAATAGGTTATGGTTTGCAGATGACTTTTTTCTTCCCCTGCTCTAACACACAATGTTTATGTCCCAATATTATGATTTGATTTAAGTGTAATCTCAGATAGTGCATATGGATTTATTGCCATGATGTCAGAGCCTTTTCATTTTAAGACATTTACACTAAAATATCCAAAGAAAAGCTCTTTTAGTTGATGCAATATGCAAGGCAAGCAGTCAGTTTGTGTGATACATTATTTTTCTGAAGGTCAGAAATTTCATGCCAGTTTATACGCTACTGACTTTCTCATCCTTTTTAAACATCAAATCTGATTCTGTATATGAGCAACAGATCAAGCTGTTGAGAACAGATTATACCCAGTTCAGTGGTACCACTTCACTGAGAATTCCTGCCTTGGTCTTTTTTCGGCTAAAATAATTTAAAAGCCTTCCTGTAATCACCAAATGTGTAAAGATCATAGAATCATAGAATGCTTTGGGTTGGAAGGGACCTTTAGAGGTCATCTAGCCTAACACCCCTGCAGTGAGCAGGGACAGCTTCAACTAGATCAGGGTGCTCAGAGCCCCGTCCAACCTGACCTTGAATGTTGCCAGGGATGGGGCCTCTACCACCTCTCTGGGCAACCTGTGCCAGTGCTTCACCACCCTCCTTGTAAAAAATTTCTTTCTTATGTCTAGTCTAAATCTATTCTTCCTTAGTTTAAATCCATTATTCCTTGTCCTGTCACAACAGGCCTTGCTAAAGTGTAACAATTAGGCTTCTTAACTTCAACTGTTAACATTCCATTTTCCAGCAGAATTATCTGATTGATCAAAAGTTGTTAATAATGTCATTTTTCAATAACTTACACTTTGCAGCTTGAAAGATTCATATAAATGGTGAGCTTATGGTCCATGAAAGATGGACACAAAAGTTTTAAAATATGGGTAAAGATGTAGTCTCAACTGAGCAAATGTTAACACTTTCATTGGGGTCTTTTAGTTAATATTTGCAAACTAATGTTTTTTAATCAAGCCTTCTAGCAAGACATAATCTTTGTAGATTTTATTGACTGAGCTCTAGCACCATAGAGATGCAAAGCTGAGAGCAGTAGAATGCTCAATTATCCCAGCCTCTCAGGTTGCCCTTCCTAGTTATGGCCTGTATTAGACTAAAACTGTATAGAAATAGTGCAGGTTAAAAATGTTTTTAATCAAATTTTTAAGTTTATAAAATGTAGGATTTTGTAAATTATAGTCTTCATGACTCTGCTGGCACAACAGTGACAGTAAATTAACGTTCCAATCATTTGTGCATGCTGAACAGTTGCGTTCTGCTTGTATACTACTGGACATAGTTAAGAAACAAACATTTTCTTAATTAAGAGATAGGGTAGATTTGTCCTTTATATCGTTACTTTTGTAGGGTAAGGACTTCAGTACCATTCATGTCAACATATTTATACAAACTGGATGCATAATTTTTCAAATGTGGTGAAGATGAATTGTTATTTTATGGCTGTATGTCAAAACATAACACAGATTGCACTATTCTTGAACTTCACGTATTTGTTGTGAACATCTGTATAATGAAATGTACAAATTAGCATTTCTTCCACTTGAGATCTGCAAATCTGAAGTTTATTTGCAAATGCAAATTCTGCCTTACTTGAACAGAATGATCTGGCTCTGAGAATACAGAATACTTTCTGTTTTGAAGTGTTGTTCAGTTTGAGTAATTCTGACAGGATCAGCTTGAAGTACTTAGTGTTTTGGACTGTTTTTAAATTTCTTCTAGTTTTTAAGATGCATTAAACTTATTTCTTTACTGTCTTTTCAGGTTAGAGATGACAACAAAAGACAACACCCATGCTTAGTGGAGTTCTCAAAATTGCCAGAGCAGGAAAGAAATTATAACTTGCAAATGTCACTTGAAACACTGAAGTAAGTAGCTAGAACTTTCGAAGCTTATAGTGAGAGTTTCCTAAGAAGTTGCAGTTTCCAGAACTATAATTTGATATGTGAATTACAATTTGATGTGTAGGTGAGTATAATAATATGAAAATGAGGGAGTGAGATACATTAATGAATGATGTGTTTGGCATTGAAAATGGATTTGATAGATTTCTTTTTAGTATCTATGGAATTTTAGAATTACTGTGGTAATGCTGATTATGAAATGGCAACTCAGGCAGTTTTCAGTTTGGAGGAAAGAAATAGGTCCAAGCTTTGAAAAAAAACTCTTCACTTCTTATTTGGTTTAACTCAATTTAGTTTAGCTTCTTACTTTTTTTTATTAATAAAGCACACTTTGATAATCAATAGTTATTTTTTGGATGTGACTAATGATGATCTTTGCTTCAGGACCCCTTGCTGCTATTTCTGTGTCAGCTGTGCATATTGCCACAAAAGAGTAGTAGGCATTCCCTCCTTTTGTGGATGAACAGTTAGATGTGTGAATGTCGTGGAAGCTCTCCAGTTGGAATGCTAGAAAATTTCAGTGGGATGTTAATGGGTTTGTTCAAGTAATCTAGTTATCTGGCTCACAAAGATACAATTCCTCGTCTCAGCTTTGTCAATCAAGCATGTGTGAGTTCTTACTTTGCTGCGAATGCATTGACAATCTATTTGTGTAAGTAATTTCTTCTATATGTAGCATTGCATGTAGCCAACGTTAGAATATTTCTCAAACTGATAAATGCCCAATGGTATATGTGATTCTCCGGTTACTCATATTTGCAATCCATTGAAATCTATTCTTTTTTTTTTCCCCTTGTTAAAATACAGTTGCTTTTTCCTGTTCAGAACATTAACAAAGGATGACTATCTGCATGTGATATTACTTTTCTGGGAATATTTGAGCTTTATTATTAAAAAAATTGCCACGTAAACTGATAGTGCAATATAATGTTTACACTCATAATGTAAGGACTTTATGTCCTCATAGTAGAAAGCTATGTAGTCTACTCTTAGAATTTCTCGTAGTCTCCTTTTCTGGTCCACTTCTCTCCACTATTTACTGATCCACCATTCCCACAGCAAGTAAATTACTCAACAAAAAACATATTTATGACCCTAAGTGTTAAAGAATTTCTGCAGGGATATTTTGGCATTATTTAGAGATGAAGCATTCAGAGATAAATGGAAGTCCATTGGAGGCAAGAAAATAAGTTCATATTTGTCTTCAGCTAGATATTAGAATTTCAAGGAAAGCTTTTGAGACCCCTGTCAACATAACAATGTGCTAAGAATCCAGAATAGCTTCTTCCTTTCCATTTTATGAAACTACAAAAGATGATGTCATTAACT